TTTTTCTCAAAATTGCGAGATATAAAAAAAAAATATATAAAAAATATTGTGAAATAAAAATATTGCCTAAATTTAAGTTAAAGCACTAAAATTACCAAACTAAAATAAAAATGAATAAAAAGTTAAATGAAAAATTCTAAAATAAATATAATAAAAACGTCAAAGCACGTAACAACATTTCTAAAAATGTTAGCAAAAAAAATCAATATAGTAAACAAACTACAATAGTATAAAAAGAATACCAAAATAACACTGCATTCAGCCAGTAACTATCAGGGCTGAAGGGGAAAATGAATGACTTGTTTACGGTTGCTCTTATTGTGCTGCTCACTGATAGCAGTGCAAATATATCTTGAGAGCTACGGCAAAATCTACCATTTTTACAATTGCAAAATATATATCGTCATACAGCCAAGACTTTGTCTATTGCAACTGATTGCTACACTTCCTTTGAAGGAGTCATGTTTGTCAATCTTTACAACTATCACACTAACAACAAAACATTCAGGTTTCCACTGCACACCAGATGCTGACGTCTTCCTGACACACTGCCACTGAGCAACTAAAACAGTTTTAATACTCCTCCAGTGTTGACCTTTAGAGTCGAACACTCAGAGTTTGTCATAGTTTGCATTATGACACACATTTTTTTTTTGCATCGACACATGATGATATATATATATATACACACGAGCATGCATGCTGGTGCACATCTATGTGGGGCTCTGGAGGAATTCTGGTTGTTTTTGGCATATAAGGTCATTGCCTAATAAAAGATCAGTGTGGAAATAGGCTGTAGGCGTGCTGAAGTGGTAGGAGAAGAGGACAGAAAAGACTACAGCAAAAAAAAAAAAGGTTTCAAATGGAAAAAAGTACTATTAGGTGGTATGTTCAAGGCAAGCAATACTTTCACTATTGCTCATAAACAAACTCCAGCCATGCAGCTCCATGCAATCACGTGCATTCAAGTATTTGTTGGGTGCGTTGATCCAATGTATATATACACTGAAGGAATACATGGAATTTGCACACCAAAAAATAAATAAGTAAATTAATTAATTATGCAATACATTATTTATTTATTTCAGTCCGTTACTTTAAGCAATCAATCTTTTTTGATTTTTTTCATATATCATAGATGGCGTCACAGTCAAGCACCAATCACATTTTCTTTGGAAGATGTAAAAATGAAGTTGAGGATGGATTCAAATTGATAATTTTGTATAATACACTCCCCATATCTTTTAGATTTCTTTTTAAATCGCATGAAACTCGGATGGTTGCTGTACCTGCGAGTGTGCGAGGAATGGTGAGCAGTGAGTTGTGCACAAGCGGATCGTCACCAGAGTTCACCAGCAGCAGAGGCACATTTATCTGCAACACAGAGAGAAGAACTAGAGTCATAAACAGGATGTCACCACATAGATAATAGTATTTCCTTATAGACTCTCTAAAGCTATTCACTAAATAGCAATCTTATTTTACTCACATTATGAATGTAATGAACACAGCTCTCCTTCTCGTAGTACTCCTTC